AGGACTTGGAGGTAACTATTAAGTAACAGCAGTATCCAGTTTTCAAAACAAAGAACATATTTCATCTTTCATTAGAGTGTTATTGATTACGACATATTAACAATTTGAGTTGGACATAAGCATAATTATATTACGTCCTAAGGCCAGGTTAAATTCATGTGTTAGGGCAATTTTAACTAATTTAGTTAGTATCTTATTAATTCTTGATTGATTTGAAGTTTTGTGTTTAAGCAAGTAAGTTAATAAAGTGAGGATGAATGGCATTGCTTAGCACATATGGCATATCACATGTCGCATTATCTGGCTGTTACGTTACTGTTTATCAAAACCTCAACATAGCTTCGTTCGCACCGTAAACACTTGCAATAAAGTTTGATAATCCGTTTTTGCACATTAACCCCACAGCAGTACTTGTGCTGCTGCTGACAGTTCCAAGGCGACGCCCCTCTGTGCTCCTTAGATGTATGACTTTTTGCTTCATACCGTTTTGGTGACACTTGTTTGTGTACCTTGTTGTTTTCTCGTCTACGGTTAGTATCTTCCTTTTAACTCTGGTTTTATTTTATTTTTTATTTTTGCCCCTCCCTTCCCCGAATTGCGTATCCCCTTCCAATGTGCCCCTTTACCTTGAGGGCCTATTAATCAATCAATTGTTTTCTTTATTTAAGTGATAATCCTGTCCGAGCTTTGCCTTGCGCTCTGTCCTGTTTTTGTTTGGGTCCTTCTGGGTTCATTGCCACTGTCTCTTGTTGCTGGGTTCTGTGGGAGGTGCGTTAATTGAACCCCGCATTTGCTGGTTTATCATAGTTTATGACCTCAACCGGTGTCAGTTTATTATACACGTAATTATAAAAATGCCGTTCATGGTTAAAATGTGCAATGATATAATTATACATTAAAATATGAACGACATATTACCTTTAAAACACAGGAATAATTCCTTTTTGAAACCATATATGGAAAATCAAGAGCAAATAGCCTGTTACTTTGACTGGAAAAGGTATGTTTCCCTGGTTTGTTGCCTTTCAACTGATAATTCCATACAGTTTGACCTGAAGAAAATGTGTACGTTTAACTTAACATCCATCGTAAGATCATGCAACGTCAATTATGTAAACATGAGTTCCGAGATTAACCAAGTTAAATGAAATCGCTAGAGAAAGATCAATTTTAAGCATTTATAAATATAATTGAAGTGAATGATTTACACTATACAGAAAGAAAACAGTCTTAGACATTCAATATATATCTATATGATATTGGTTGAATGTATCGAAAGGGATTGACTTTTTGGATAAACAAATAAAAAAGTGGGACAAGTGAAGAGAGATGTAATGTTTCTTTAAGTATACTACATGTAATTACAAGTTAATACAAAATAAATTTTATTTCTCATGTCAGTAAATCTTTACATCTTTTGATAAGCTTGCAATTTTTACCACCATCACATAAGTCATCTGTTTTATTTTGTTTTTTTTTCTTAAAGATGTATACCTCAATATGACTAAAATATTTCAGGAAAGTAAACCTTAAAAATGTGCAATTTATATAAAGGAATGAAAAATATTCATAATTCAAAAACAGGTTACATAATTTGTGCCATTATTGACTTTTATTCCAATATCTATTTATAAGGATTTTTCTACGGCATGATTTCTGCAGTAAAGGATACATTTGCATAACATTTTTGACTTGACTTAAATGTGTTTATTTAAGAAGTCTACTAACGTGTTAAGACTTTTCCTGCCCTTTGATATTCACAACTGAAGTCATAACATGTTGGAATATCTCCATGGCAAAGCTTTTCATCACGGCTGTCCTTGCAGTCTGGGAAGCGATCAGATGTCAGCCGATGAGGGATGCATTTGGATTCATCAACACAGAGAAACGACTTTTTACAGGAGTCTTGAATTATAAGATGAACTTAGTTTCATATTAATCACTAAATATATATAAATACGATAAAGACGTAATTATATTATACAATCGATTTATTTTTATCATCTACCGTAATTTTTCGAAGATACTGACTTCTTCTTAACGCCATTTTCCTTGAATAACTATTTACTGTTTTATCGAAGTTTCTTTAATAATTTTTATCATCTAATAAGCAAGTTTTGGACATTTAAATATAAAACAAACATAATTTTACATTTCCGAAGGGCGATTATAAATGCATGTATATCAAAATCATAGAATGTTGACCGAAGTTGCATTATTTGGAACAAAACAATTATATGAATAAGTAAACACGAGATTAACTAACAAGTTTGGTTATATGACATGTAGTACCTGACTTTGATCAATATATGTATAAAAACACACTTATTTTCCCGTTTCTTGCATAGAGTTATTTTCTGTCGACAATAATACTGGAGTTGTAACTTATAGATTACATATATACATTGACAGATTTCTTATTACTGTAATAATGTCTGCTGATTATTAAAAATCAAACTATGAGGTATTATATATTGATACATACGAACATAAAATCTGCAAAAAAAATGTTTCTTAAACAATTATTATTCATTAAATGAAATATAATATGAATTGATTTTTATTGCTTCTATCTTTTACAATTGTCCATTTTTGTTGTTTCATTTTTTTATGTTTTAATCTTATATTCTTATCTAAATTTGCTGACACAGCTTCATATAATATTGTTTACTGCAAAAACGTTTTAACTGTAATAATAAATCTTATACAAACCACAATTCATTTCATCACTATAATCTAAACAGTCAATTATAGCATTGCATTTTTTCTCTGCTGGAATGCATTGTTTATTTTTACAGGTAAATTCATTTTCTTTACACTTTCGGTAATCTATAAATATTTGAAAACAATAAATTAGTAAGCAATAATATGAAATATGCTAAAACAAGGTTACATAAGTTTAAAATTGTATGTTTTCCTGAGTTTGAAATGTATAACTTTTGTAAAAAGAAAGTCAATATTTTTAATTTGCGCATAATAACTTATGGCCAATAAAATGTAAAATAATGCATATGCGCTCGTATTTACAATGATTAGAATAGTCTGTGTGATGTAAATAACACACTGGCAATAAATATTTTTTGTCACCATGATTGCTAAAAGGAACATCGCATGCGATTTAAATGTTCGTTTATTTAGGGTTAAAGTTACAAGATGAAAGAATTAAAGAATATTAAGATGCTTTGATTTATAGGCTACATTTCGGGATAAGACGAATAACTGTGTGAATTCGAATGTCTAAGATACAAGTACAAAAATCATCTGGATTAAAGTTTGATCCTTCGGAAGCATTAATCGTCACAATTATTCATGTAAGCTGCAGACTCTGTTTGATTTCGTCTATATATGAGGGATCATAATAAAAAAATTTGCAACATTCCTCATGCCTCCTAGCGCCGGCTTGAGCGCAACTCAATTTTCAACACTAAAATGTGCTGAAATCAATGATACACTTGACATGTAAAACCTATGTAATAATATACGTGCAAAAGAGCAGCATATTTTCAAAATATTGTATCAAGAACGGATTTCGACAAAATTTGTAATTTAAAAAGGGCACAGTCTTAAAAGTTTCCTTCTGGATAATACTTCTTGTCTTATAATAACGCCTTGTCTTTATAATCATTTCGTGGTAATAACCATCATTCCACTTAATGAACAGTTGTGACAAAAATGCAAGATAAATATATTATAACTCAAGAATGAAGCATAACGAATAATTAACAAAAATAGTAGGAAAGTCACAAAAAGTGTCATTCATTCAATAAAGTCAACATAAACATGTTATCTCTAAGGCTTGATAACACACAGAAGCTTTAAGATATGTCACTTTTTATCATATAATAAATTATTTAATATTGAAATTTCATTGCTTACCACAGTCTTCGTCTTTTCCATCCGAACAGTCGGATATAAAGTCGCATACTCGAGTTAATTTTATACAATTTCCCCCATCACATGAGAATTCGTTGTCATCACATCCTAACAAGTTATTGTATGAAATATATCAAATGACTTAACTTCATCCATGAAATATGATGCTATGTAAGTTAAATATATATCATATTTGTTAAGAAGCATATGTAAGATATAAATATGAAAGGGGGCGAACATTTTTTATGATTTGAGACTACTTTCTGTTATGTTTTCTGTGTCTGCTGTTCATTTCATTACCAGAAATCTTGTTATGTTTTCTAAAGACAGTTCATAATGGCAATGATACAGTTTGTTTTCAACTGCATCACACACCTTCAACTAGTCAATGTATTTCTGCTTGCTGTACAATTGGAACTGCGTAAAATGAAAGTTTTCGTGAAGATTTTTTTTGAAGGTAAAATTAGACAAAAAAGTTATTGTTTCGTTTTTACTTGAAATATGTTATATATTTTCACTTAGCAATATAATATTCAATATATTTTAATCGTTAATCCGTCTCTTGGAAACATATGGAATTTTATCATGTTTCTTGAAATTATATATCTTATTTCACTCAAGCAAAAAATATCCTCTTATTATACAAAAGAGACTTGTTTTTTGTTCTTATATAATTTCATTTAAATCAATCTGTATTTTACACGAGGAGAAAAATACTAGTATTACATTACGGTCAAAAAACATTTTATATTTTACCAGTGCTATGACAAAGCAAACTATACAATCGCTAGATAAGTTACTTGCTTAAAGGCATAATATTTCTCAGAAACAAATTATATTATGATTGAAAATTTGGCAGTCTCGGCTTGACTGAGACAGCCGATGGACGGCACTGGAAAGTGAAAGCCACCATCCATGGCACCTAGCAGCGGTCCAAGCAGACATATACATAAAAAAGATAAAATGTTTAATAAAGTAGACAAAAATACCTTTTTTTCTGTGTGAACAATTGACTTCATCCGAAGCATCAAGACAATCAATGACGTTATCACATATAGCTAACGCGGATATCCATTCTTTGCTTTTTTCACAGATGAAATGGCCCCCGTGATTGCTTAGTTGCGGTAGATTAGATATTATCATTATATTTGCAATATTCGTGAGATTGTGTTCTGTAAGTAAGACATAAAGTTTTGACCGAAACTATCAAGGAAAAGGCAAAAACGTATAAGGATTTTTTTTTTGGGGGGGGGGGGGAGTAACTGGTTTGTTTTGTCAGTTTTTATGTTCATGTCAATATGTATGCAAATATCATTACATTAGAAAAATGCATATTAAGTATATTGATAAACGAAAAAAGCACTTGCATGCCCAGACGTAAAATGATTCTTTTCTTGAATTTGCTGACATTTGTATTGCTCTTGTATTAATGCTTGAATATATTAAAGTCATTTAATATTACAAATGGCTTGATGTAGCACCATGAAAGAGAAACAAAATAACCAAAAAAGGACCTTGTATAAGATAAATGCAAAACAAATACACACGTGTTATATTATTTTGACATGACAATTCGTCCGAAGAGTCTGTGCAGTCAAAATTCCCATCGCACCAATCTAATATGGATATTTGAGATCCATCAGAGCAATTTACATCAGACAGTCTCTTTTCAGGCATAGTAATTATACCTTTACCTGGAATAATGTTTGGAAACAAAATGATACAAGTGGAACATACAATTAACACAGGAAAAGTTTTATGGTTTTATTAAATAATGACATTCGACGTTTCGATCACACGAGTCTTCAGCAGGTTATTGAAAGAATTATTCCAAGTAAAGGATATTAGGAAGGACAAATGAAGGATATTACGACAAAAAACGTCATCTATATAATCAGTTTTAATGCATGTAAACCGTTGAACACCGTCAGGACCAGAGGAGAATTATGACAAATTTAAGTTAAATTCACAAGTCTCCTTAACTTTTCAAACTCATTGCATAAATTAAATTTACAAATGCCCGGGTTACATATTGTCATACCATATATGAAATCAAAAGAACGGAATTATTTTAAAGTGTGCTAGATCTTAAAAACTGGTAACAGAAACATTTTAAGCGAACAAAATTAATTTTAAAGCAATCTATCACATTTATTTAGTTCTTATCATTTTGGTATAATCTATTTATCACTATTATAGAATAAGCTCTATCAATAATAATAATAATTGTTTAAGACCAACATATTTAGACAAATATTAAAGTAATGAAAATTCTTAATTAGATTTAATGACATTTTTGAATTATGTAACAAATATTAACCGCTTCAAAAATACTATAATTTGATTATTATTAATAAAGGAAAAGAATCAATAAAATAATGTACAATTATTGACTAGTGAGCTATTTCATATGATGCCATATTCACCGACAGATGACATATTGACCGAGTTCAAATTATTATCCGCTTAAAATCAATCAAATTTTATTAGCTCAAACATTTTCTATACGATGCCGTACATACCTTGAAGAAATAAGAATATATTTTTACATTGTGGACGGTAACCTGCGTATGTACATAAAAAAGCTATTGCTTTTATGTCATATTTTTCAAATGATATTCCTTCAAGAAATGAAGTTGAAAATAACACTGCTATGATGGCTTAAGATTTGAATAATGATTTATTGCGAAGCGTTCGTGTGGATGTTGAATATAACATGATCTTATCTAAATGAACCGTTTTTCTGCGCTTCATTGAAAACTGTCACAATTTGATAAGTTTCCTAATAAATTTAATTTGTCGTCAATAACAATTTTGGCGTTATTAAAAATTCTTTCTTTGTACAAGTTTCTGACGGGATATACATGAAATTAGAGCGTTGTGATATAAATAAAGTAAAACCTCTCGGCAAGAATGCTGGTTATATTTAACTTATTCAGGCTAGCTCCTGTCTGTCAGCATCTTGTTTAACTAATAACATACGTATATATAACTTACGAGGCAAAAAGCACGGTTCCCGGAGAGACTCGCCAGTATCATTAACATAGCACCATAAGATGCCCTGATTTGTAGGATCTTGACAAAGAGTTGAATTTTCTACATATTTCCGACTGGAAATAATTGTGTCAAAATCTATTTCAGCTTTGTCAGACAGGTTTCCCCAATTTTGACAAGTTTTACCAGAGTAAGTTGAAACATTGAGGTCTTTAACAATGAGGTCTTTCATTTGATTAACACTTTTACACATATCTTCCATAATGTCAGCTGGAAAAAATATCAAATAATTATCAGTATATATATATATATATGTATATTTTGCATAAAGTGACAATTTAAAAACAATATTAAATTTGTTAAACTACAAATGCACTACATCTCACTCGTCTGAATTAGATACCTGACGTTCTGTAACTGATTCACATAATGTGTATAGAATTGAAATACGTAAGAACAACTAATACAAAAGCAATGAATTCAACATCAAGTGATTTCAGATTTGAATAGTTTAAATATTTGGAAGTATGTACAGGCATGTTTAGGCTAAAACGAACAATTGCAAACATTAAACATAAACATATAAACAATCTTACCAGACATTTTGTATTAAATTTTGTATGTTGAAAAATATTCAACTGAGTCAGGTATAAAAACTAAAAATAATTCTAAATTTCTATAAATATTTAACGGATTGAAACAAATATTTGAAATATACGCTTTTTGTTTTTTCCATCTGCTAGAAACGGCTTTTCACAGATGAAAAAGTCAACTTTGTTACTGCGACAATCTTCAGCGGCCCAAAGCTTGTCGGTGTTAAAATACTCGAAAAACGTCCAAGTGCAGTCCCCGGTTATAGGTTGTCCGCTTTCCCTACAACAATCAAAGGCAAATGTCAAAGAAATTAACCAGATGAAACATACGGATATTCATACAAAGTACGTGAAGTTCACAAGAAAATGACTATTATGAATAATATATCAAAACATTTAAAATGACATTATGCTCATATTTTCATTATCAAGTTGAGCTGAATTGAGACTATATACATTTATTTTAAAAGATTGACTGTTACAATGGTGATTGACAAACAGTTGATACCGGAAAATGTTTCAGGGTACAAAAAAATATACCCTTATCATAAAGAGACTGCCCCAAACTTGTTTTATAAATTGAACTCTACAGGCAAATTTCGATGGATATTTACAGCATTTTTAGGACATGTGAATTATATATCAGTTATTCGATATAAATTATATCTTGCTGTCCGACGTATACACATTAAAATAAATTTGATTGGTTCAAAATATGTTGTAACTATAATAATAATATTTACCAAGCACTAAAAGTTACGGTGTAGTTGTTAATCCATGTAAATATCTTTCTCTGTTTTGGTTTATCAAAAACACGCTTTAAACCTTAAGAAATTGAAACAGAACATTAGTAATTATATAGGAGAAAAAGTGGCATATCTCATTTGAATATTGTGATCTACTTTCACTAGAATAATGTTCTGAAATCGGCAGATGTGTTCTTACACATATTGAAGAACATGTAATATAAATCGAATTAATTACGTATATGTTGTTTCTCGTATCTACGTCATAGAACGGTAAAAATCACGTGATCTCTTATCAATCGTTTTATCAGATTTTATCAGAAGTCATGACTTTATCTATTATAAATGCTTTCATAGGCGTAATAAATGCCGAATTCAAGTGATTTATTCAGTGCACTTAATACATGTATAACAGAAGAATCATCAGGTCACATAACGTCACAAGCCATATGTGCTGTCAGAACTTATTGAGATGAAAGGGGTTCTGTCCTACACACTACTCAGAGAAAATATGTATATGACTTCAAAGATATAACAGAAATTTTAATATTTTTCTTCAGTCTACCTTAGAAAACAAAGTCACAAATGCAAAAAAGAACAAAAAGCAACCTGCTTTGATTTTGATCTAAAACACATCAGATTTTAGAGACAAAAGAGTTACCAATATGAGCCCCAAATACTTCTTGTTTGTCCAATTTGTCCTTGCGCGTTGTATTCTTCTTATCATATAACTGATGTCGAAGTAAGTATTGGATGTATTTCATTTCTGTTCTTGATGCTATAGTTACAAGATGTTCATTGCGCTCACGACACTTAGCATAAGCGGTATTCCAAGGAACCTCTTCAGAGAGTACAGTGTAACATTTTTGGAAAAGCATTGAACAGGCTTAAACATAAAACACATGTTCCATTTAAATTATTCATCAATAAGTTTCTTTTAAACTTTTAAAATTGAATATTTACCAGTACAATTTCGTCTGCACATTTTCGCAAATGGCACTTTGCAACGGTATGCAAAAGAATTATTCTATGATTAGAATGACATGAAGAACTTTGAATAAACGCTTATATTTTTCTGATTGCACTTTAAGTTAAACGATTCTATGCACTAAGAAAATAATTTTATATCCTAATATTGAGCAATTGATACGTCGTAATTTTATCACCATTCGTACCTGTTAAGTTGGAGCCTTTAACGACAGTAGTATACCTTTCAAGAGAGTGGTTAGTTAATTGATACTGTAGTAGAAATCCTTCCCTTTGACCTTGTATTTCTCCATCAGCTTTTTCAGTCCAAGCAGAAGATTGCCGTCGAAAATAGATACGAATTATTGAACCTTTTGATTTGTATGTCTCTGGTGGTAAATTACGAGAGCAAAATTCATTCTCTCCAAAAACATCTTTGATAGTGAATCGTGATTGCCAGTGACCTATTTGAGTGTAATGAAAGCATTTTTATGTGTTACACAATACAGAATTATCAGCACAATCGGAACATCCTCGGCTGTTATCAAATATAACCCCAGAGTTAATAAGGAGTAGTTCTACCTTGTGTTTTCAGAAAGTGTAATCCTGGATATCGTTAAATCAATGTATATATTTGACAACCAAAGATCAATTAAGTCTGTCCGGTACAATAACGATTGATAATATGTTTGAGAACCATTTTTAATTTCTATATGCCCACTTATGCACAACCTTTCATTTCCGACTAAATGTCAACGGGATTGCATTGTACTTTCGGCTTCTACAACCATAATAATAAGTATATAAATAATGTATCGTTTACCTTTATATCTATGACTTTATTCATTTTATTAACTTTCTGTATTGGAAAAAAATTGTCAACAACTCCCAGCATTAAATTAGTGCATTGTATTTCTTTACATGTTTAGTTTCTTAGCGTATGTAAGATTGAAATACCGTATCCGTTCTGTGTATCCATATTCTGTTCGTGATCCTTATCCGAAAACTGACTGACGGAAACGGACGAAACTTTGCGATTGTTATCACCAAATATTGAATAGTTTAAAAAATAAAAACAAAAATGCCTGTATAGTACACACTTGCCTTTTAAACTACACACTTACCACGTCCAAATTGAATCGAAAAACATTCACTTTTTCCAGTAAGGAGTTTGTTATTTTCTTTTTTGTATTATTCCTGATTTGTTTAATCTGGGTACACTTTCTTGGTTCAATGGGCTTTTCAAAGACTAACTTAGCTGTCTGCAGCTTGTCAAAAAGTAGTCGTGGGATAGCTATTTCATTGAAGACAATATCGAATAGTGTCTGAATATTTTACATGCATTT